CAATAAATCTGGAGTGCATCAGGTTGGGGATTGTTTAGGGTTCTCTTAATGCAGAAACTAATAGCAGACAAGAACTCGTTAAATCCTTTGAGGGAAGCCATGATGGTTTTAAAAAAGAGAACCATGTAGCATCTTAAAGTCTTAACAGATTTATTGTGGCATAAGCTTCCATGGACCAGTGCACACCTTGGCAACTCACAAAGTAGGCTTTACTCCATAAAAGCTGTATGCCTCAGTACATTTGGTAGACCTTCAGGTGCCCCACCAGGACTCTTTACTGTGACTGGCTCACGTGGCTGTCCCTCTAGAATTTGTCATGAATTCTGCATACATAAGCCATTCTGGACACCTCAGAATTAGATTTGGGATATGTGGGATAAATCTGTTTTTGTGGAACTGGCTGGTTAGCAGCCAAACTTGCATAGACCTACGATCCTCATCCTCCTCTTCCTCCAAGGAAATAGTACTTGTTTTCTAGTTGCCCAGGCATTTGATCACTTGGGATTTTTGTCACCTCTGTTCTGTGCAGGAGTGTATCATTCTGCAATTGCTCTGTGCGGTCTATAGAAACCCATTGTTCTACAATTTTTCCAAAAATGGTATTAAAGACAGGTAACAATAATAAGTTCAAGAGTAAAGCAAGCAAGCAAGCAAGCAAAAAAAGTAAAATTACCAAGAACAAATGGATTAAAAACATAATTAAAATATAGCCAAAACAAGCAGCACCTTACCCAATAGAAACCCTTCAGCAATTGATCTTTGCTGTCTTTGCCTGCTGGAGGAAGGATAACAAAAAGGAAGCCAAACTTGCTTCCTCTCCAGAGCCTGGGAGTGGCCACCAAGAAGGACCTCTCTAACATATCCACTGAATATGCCCCCTCCCACCCCGTGGTAATAGAGAAGGGCCTCCCCTGACCTGCAGTGTGTCATTGCCATTGCTCCACAATCACCTGTATGATACCTGGATGTTTTGCCAGTGGGATGAATATTATCTATGAAGGGGCAGATGGATTTCAAGTAGGCAAAGGATCCAAGGGAATGGGTTAAGCCTCCCAGCCAGCACTGTGGTCATGGTGCCCTCCCAAAGCTGTTGCTGTTTCCCCACTCCCCGCCAAGACTATGTGAGATCCTGCTTCTAGATGCCCCCCATTGTTTCTGGTGGGGAACTTCTACTTCACAGGCATGCCCATATGCCAGCATCCTTGTGTCCCTGTCTAGGTACTGTAGTACACAGTGAGAACATGGAAAGCACACACACAACAGGCTGCAGTCACTGTTCCTGGGACACAACACTACTTCTTTCATGGAGTTAGCTGCACGGACTACCAAGGAGGCAATGCATCTGGAAACAGGCAATGTAGCTAGGCTGTGTCAAATTGAACCACTAAAATAGCCCTCCAGATTCATACAACCGGATCTTTCTTGGTGTGCCTTAATCGTAAAAGCCTATCCCGTGGCTCTTTTGGCAAGAAGAAACAAATGTCAGTGACGGCTGATTCAACATTCTAAGGCAAAAGTGCATCATACAAACCTCTCAGGCCAGTATCACGTAAGAATGCAGATACTCAGATGGGCCAGTTTTCAACTCAAAGTGGCTTTGATCAGATTACAACAGCCTTGACTTAATCAGGCATGCAGTGAAAGTTTTCTGGTCATCCATTGGTTAATGCAGAAAATCGGATCCCACTGCCTTTATGTAAAGGTAACAGTGGCATTCCTCAAAAAATAGTAAATCTAGTACTATTCACACTGTACTGCATTCTGGGGAGAAGTGAGCTTAGAAATGTTATAAAACAAACACTTATTTTATCCAGATTATTTTGATGAGGGGGTTCAGGCACATCCCCCCCCCAAGTTGTTTGATCCCTCACAATTTCCCAGTAAATATCTTTCTTCCTGACAGCAACATGTAAGACATTTGTTATGCTCCCTTGCCTGCATTTGCAAGTGGTACAATTCTGGAAGGGTTGAACCATATGGTTTTTCTGAAACTGGAGGCTGTTTTCGGAGTGCTTGAATTAGCAGTAGCTATTGTGCTGTGGGGGCTTCACTTTTAATTTAATTAGATATACTGGGAGCCAGTGTAGTGTAGTGGTTAAGACTGTGGGACTGGGACTCAGGCAGTCTGGGTTCTAGTCCCTGCTTGGCCATGGATCCAAGTGGGTAACTTTGGGCGAGTCACAGACTGTCAGCCCAGTCTACCTTACAGTGTTGTTTCTGTGGGGGTTATATTGAGAGCAGGAGGAGAATGGTGTAAGTCACTCTGAGTTCTTAAGAAAAAGCAGGATATACATCTAATAAATAATAAAAATATAGCATGTTTGCACATGTGCACATAAGCAGAGAAATCAGACAGACAAAATTATCAAACAAGTAAATTTGCTTGCAAAAATCATTCTTTATATTCTTCTAGCATTATTTTTCAGCATTTTCAGTTATGAACATGGTTGAAACTAGGCTTTTTGTTTGCTGGTGTTGTTTAAGGGCACAAAAAGAAGGATTAACTATTTTGCCACCTAAGTGACAGAGGAGAACTTGGATTAACCACAGGGTGAGATGTGGTGCTTTTGTTCTAGCTTCCCCACACTGAAGGTGTGTGTCTACATTCACATTTAAACCAGTCACAAGGCTGTTTAACTCCCTTGGCCCCAAACAGAGGAGGGAGCCATGGCAGCTAATCAAGAGTCTGTGACAGGATTCTCAGTGGTTACCCAAATGATGCAAGACCTTTGCAAACATCCATTTTGGATAGAGAGAGAGAGTATGGATGGAAATACTGGGGTTTGCACGCACCACACATCACTCCTTCTGTGGATAACATGCAGTCTGTATGTTCTACACCTGCAACTTAGATGTCACATGTAAGAACCTGAGTTAATAGCACTTTGAACCCCTGCAAGTTGGGATCAGGGTCAGCAGGCTGATTCCCCACTCCCATTCTTGATGTTCATTTCTATCTGGAACATTTGTTTGCAGTTGGCTATTACTAACTTGTACAACACAGTGAGTTCTTTGAAGGAACCCTTGGCTAAAACTTTATTTCAGAAATCATGTCAAATCTCCAGTTTAGCTGGGCTCAGTGAGCACCAAGATCCTGCTCTTTGCACTTGTTTCCTGCTGCCTGCTGGTGGGTGATACATGAGAGTCTCCCACTTCACAAGATAGCAGTATCATGGCCTTGTCTCCAGCCGCAGAAAATCCTTAGGAAGTCTGGCCAAGGTGTGGAAGAGATAGCTGTCTTTCTAACAGAAGACTGGCAAGGGCATCTCTATGTTTCCCAGGCTACCACTGGCAGGTCTTGCTTTCTGTGGATGGGTGCAAGGCTGGTGCCAGCCCCAGCTTTTTGGGGATGCTTGGATAAGATACCCTATCTTGGTAAGTCCACCTTCTCATCACCTTGTTGCCAGCCATTCTTGCTTCTCATCCACTCCCTCCTCATTGCTGCTACTCACTTGCATGGCAGGCAGAGAGCCAGGGAGTAAGCTGGCTGTGGCTTCTACTGCTCCTCACTCTCTCCACCACCATTGCCTGGGCCAGAGTGAGGTGCCAGTGAACAAGCAGGTAGCACTGATGAAAAAGAGGAATGACTCCAGGGGACTTTTGTCATAGGCCCCCAGAGTGTAAGCCCTTAGCAGGTGTCCAACCATGCCCGTCTGTGATACTGGCCTTAATTGCTCCAGACGCTTGACTGCCTGACATGGAGTTTCACACTGCTCTTAGGCAGAGGGCTCCTGGCACTACAGAAGACCTGCTCCATCTTTCCTTCCTTAACAAATGTTCCGTGGAAAGAGAAAGACTGAGGAAGTGGTGGGGAAATGCAATAATGTTATGACTAGGAACCTTCATCAGGACCCTTTGTAAAATTATGTGAACAAGGCAGAATGCTGACTGATAAAAGCATCACCTAGAAGCACTCTGGAGGGCACACATATAAATAGGACCAACCCTTGCAAAGTCTTTCTGTAGCATTCAGACACCAGTTTCTGCCTTTATGGTATCCCCTGATGCAGGTTGCTTCATTCTTCATGCACACATAATCAAAGTCACCCATACACACAGCAATAGTTATAAATTCAACAAATGTGCACACTTTCTCTCATGTTGCATCATTTATTCTGCTTTTGCTAATCCATGGGAGTGGTCCGTTCTCCACCCTTAACCACAGGAAATCTTATTTAACAACTCTTCTGGCTTCTGAAATCTCACCAAGCACTGCCCACCCACTTTTCAGTGTACTTTTGTAACTGTAAGATTTAGACCCTTAGTACTTTTTCTTTTTCAAGGTGCATGCTAAGATGTTCAGGGAGCTCAAGGCTGCTACCAACATCACATTATTTGTGCTTCCACAGATATAATCTACATACAGTCCCCTTCATCAGGAATATGACTCTGATATGGCTCCCTACCCTGTGTTACATGGTACTTCTGAACAGACTGTTCCCATGAGGCTAATTGTTCTCACCTTGCCACAGTAACAGCTGCACTTCAGCAAGATCATCTTTTGATGTCATTACAGAAGTAATTAAACTACAAGTGATACTTGCACACTTGAAGCAGAAATTGGTGGTGACCACTACTCCCCAACCATACCCAACCTGCTTCTCTGTATTGCATTTGTGGGCTGAGAGTGCATCTCACACAACACTAGTAGGCATATATGTCTAATGTGTGTGCAGGTACTCCTTCATCCTGAAGGCAGCATTTCTTCATCCTGCCACTGAAAGAGCAGGCCGGTGTGTGTTGTAGAAGATAAAAACCTTTCAGACAGTGATCAAGTTCACAGAAAGTGTTCCTACATTTTCTGCCTCATACGGACTCTCATTCATTCATTCATTCATTCATTTATTAAAACATTTCTATGCCGCCCCATTCACCGAAGCCTCGGGGCGGCTCACAACATAAGATGAAGTACAAAAATAACAATATAAAAATAACAATATAAAATAAATAACAATATAAAAGAAGTTGCCCTGGCCAGATATGCACAGTCAGACAACCAGTTCATCTATTCTTAGTATTCTTTACATCAGGTGCAGAGTCTCCTTTAACCCAAGGGGTGAATGCAATGTCAGAAAAGTTCTTGGGGGCTGGATTGTAGTAGTGTGTGAGGCCAAAAATACCAGTACATTTTACTTTAAAGCTCTTTTTGCCACTAAGTCTTATGACTAGCATTTAGATCATTTATAATGGAAAGAAAAATGCACAAAAGGTTAAAGTCCACCAAAAAGATTGATGTTTGGTTGGAAGAAAGGAAGTGGTGCCACAGGGGGTGGCCTAGCCTTTTTGGAACTCCAGACAGGCTAGGTTTGTCCCCCTAGGCTTGAGGTTCTGCATTCTAAAAACAGCTGTTGCTGAGATAGTGTCCGAAGAATCACCATCAGCTGTATAAGGAGAAGCGTGTGCCCAGGAGAACACTGGCCATGACACAGAGATCTCTAGCTGAGCCATATTCTTGATCAAGGTTTCTGTGTCTCTGTCACATGACTGGAAGCAGCTCTTCAAGGTCTCAGGCTTGAGTCAGGGCTATCCTGAAACAGAGCAACAAATGAACAAGGCAAGGCATGTAATGCCCAAGACAAGATAAGTTATTTTTGGCAACTGAGGTAGAAAACCTCACAAGTGCCTCTGTCCACCCCTGACAGCAACAAACATAATCACAAACCATTAATAACTAAAAAAGGTTAGCTGTTTGTTCTCTCTTATGGTGGTGCTTGCAATAGTCTTTCACAACTTTACCTGAAGACTGAGCATAGGACCTAGGGCATGCTCTACTCCTGAGATAAAACCATTCTTCACTGTGCTTCTTATATTATCCCTAATTTTCAAAATAAGGTGGCCTTTCCATCTAACTACTTATATTTTTAAAAAGCAAAGCTAGCCATGTTGAACTGTAAGAAAAAAGAAAAGAAAAGAAAAGAAAAGAAAAGAAAAGAAAAGAAAAGAAAAGGGGGGACACTGCAAAGTTGATGTGCAGTACCTTTATTAGGACCAAGCAAACTGTCCAAAACATTGAGCAAGATGCCATATGATGAATCCCCAAGAATGAAGGATGCCAGATTTAAAAATGACCTATCCAACCCTCTTGAGTCTGCTGCCCAAAGCAGCTGTTCTCTATTACTTGCTCATTATTAGGGAATGGCAATAATTCTAAGCAAGTTAAAGGTAATTCATTAGAATAATCATTTCCCCTTAGGCTATGCCAGTGTCTCACCCCTCTATCTTCTCTGATCAAACAGGTTTTGGAAGGACTACCACAAAACTTTGTAAAACGTATATGACCACAGATCCTGGTGGAGTGAATTTGCACACTCCAGACAACCACATGAGACTAAACTAGATGCTCTGAGATAGTAAGGGATGTGGTGTAACTGAGATGCAATTCTGCTGTGTTTCAGCTGTGGCATTCTTCATTTCCAAATCTTGAAATCTGACCTTATTTTTTGCTTCTGCCCTTCTTTTTAGCAGCACTTAGCCTTTCAGGAATGAACACCATGAAATCATCCAAAGAAAGAAAACATAATGGAAGCTAGGTCTCCCAAGTCTGCTTGTCTCCTTACCCTACTAGAAGACACTAAAATAACCACCTGATTTTCCTAAAGGGCTTTACTGTTTCCCCACATATTGTTAGGTTTGCAGGTGGATGGAAAAGTGCAGGAGTAATCTCAGCAGCCAGCACAGTGGCTGGATAAGATTTCCAAGACTATAGGCTTGGATAATGCCTGTTTCCATAGCTAGCTGAACTGGATTAAAGCTAAGCAAAATAGAAAGTGTGAGGCATAAACTGCACACAGAAATCCAGTTTTTCTTGGTGAAGAAATTGGGATACTTTTGTGCTGGATTGTGATGATTTGGCTTTAAAAGCTCAGAATACAGATACATCTGAGCTTGGTTATTTCTAGATCTGCACATGAAGCAAGAGATACATGTTTGTGATAAGTAAATGCAAACCACATTAAACACTTTTGATTAACTATCATAGCAGCGCTATCTTGTCCATTCATACTCAGCACTATTCATCCTATTCATGCACCTTTTTGACACACACATGCATCTATTTCCAGTAATCATACACATCTACTTTTTTGCTTGTTTGCACACATATCTGCTGGGCATAATAAATGATTGGGCTTATGCTCCTTTTCTCTTCATCTGTAAAGGTAAAGGTGGAGTCAAAGACAGGCATGGTCAGGCATCTGCTGAGAGGCTACCCTCAGCAGGGGCCCACTGACAACATCTCCCTGGACTTGCTTCTTGTCTTCATCTTTGCAGTCTGCTTGTTCACCTGCTTCCTGCTCTGGCTCAGACGGTGGTGGTAGATGGAAGGAATGGACAGAAAGCAGCAGCAAATACCACTTATACATCCTCACTGGTTCTCTGACCAAAATGTAAGACATGATGGTGGTAGGAATGATGGGACAGAGAATGAAGAGCAAGAGCACTGGTGGTGATGAAGGGGAAGCCCATTGAAGGGGTGTTCCCCAAGAACTCTCCGATACAGATCCTGAGTTCTTGTGAATTTACATGCTGTGATGATGGCCATTTGCTTTAATTACTTTATAGAATGATTCAACACATGAATGGAGATGAACAGTTAGTAGGTATCATATTGAAGCAGAATGTCATATTCAACACCTGAACACTGAAGTCTACATAGCAGAGGCCTATTTTGGTCCTGCCTTCTTTAGGGGCTTCTCAGGTGTGTCCCTTTATTTTTCACATGAATACTACAGTCTTACTTTATGGAGCTCAGTCTTTGCATACATGACTGGGGCTACTGCTCTTTAACTTTGCAACAACAAAGTGAGGAAGGGTTAGGCTGCAATATGGAGTGATGGCACATGGATGGAGTTGAACTTAGGTGTGCCCAGTACAAGACTAACCCTGTTATCACTGCACAGGATGCTGACCTAGGTAAGTGTTTTTAGTGTGATCCAGCAGGTGGTTCTTATGCACACACACAGTTCTTCTGCCCTACTGATGACTCTTGTCAACGGATCTGGGAGGTTTCTGAAAGAACCCTGCAAAACCTGTTTAACTACAGGCAAAAGCAGGGATCCATAGATGCATCATGGCTAATGATGCATCTTTTCAACCACCTTCAGCTCTGAGGAGAAAAGGACCATGGTTTCAACATTTCTTTTCACCCTTTGAAAGTGACTTTGGACTCACCGACTTTAATGTATTAAAATGGATTAAGATGGAATAGGTGCTTCCTGTAAAATCAACCCAAAGGAAGCCAGATTCTTAACCCCTTGGAATTCAACCTGAATAACCAAAAGGACCATGATGTTGTAAAGGACCGGACTGTTAACCAGGTTTGTACCACATGACAGCTCACCATGGGTAACAGGGTACTGTGGGTTGCCATGTCGTGCAAACCTGGGCCAATTCCTGTAGAGTGGTTTGTTCATGGGCACATGCTAAAAAAGTGGCTTGTTCTGAGGCTGTTGGATCCACAAAGGGATACGGTGTCATTCAAAACTAGATTACCACTTTCATCATGAATTGCTCAGCAACTGCAGAAACCCCCCTTGTCCTTCTTGCAACCAATGACAAAGTATCATAGCATTCCAGGTGGCACTGTGTTGGTGCATTCATGCCTGCATATGTCCCTGCCAGAACCTGAATACTCTGTCCAAAAATAGATTTAAAAAATAAATATTAAATTTATTTTTAATTTTTTTTAAAAAGGAATTGGGATTTTGTTAGCTGTCGAGCCTCTCTGCTCCCAAAAAAGCAGGTGGCTTTCATTCTCCCACTTTCCCAAGCATATAGTCTTGTCGAAGGGGTAAAAGGGGTGATCCATTGGCTACCCACCTTTGTGAGGAAAATTCACAAGCAGTTTTGGGGGGGGGGTTTGACAGTTCATCTTTTAATAACTGTCAGGAGGAGGCAAAGTGAAAAATAAAGCTGTCTGCAGCCTCTCCAGGTCAATGGGAATGCTGGGTGCTGGTTACAGTTTTCCAGTAAACACTGCCTGAGACATTGCTCAGGTGAAGCTTGCAGTATCAGTGCTGTGCAAGTCTGACTAAAAACTTAATAAAAATGTTCCTAAACCTTTGTGTAGATTTCTTGCACAGATTTTTCTTTTTTAAAAAGGGGTGATGAACCAGTGACAACCCCTCCAATATTCTGCTTGGATGTTTTGAAGAGTCTGTTACTAGCTGTCAAAGCAGATATTACAAAAACTAATCTCAAAAAGAAAAAAAATGGGGGATGAAAGCCATGATGAGCACAGAAGAGCTTTTAATCATGGCAGGGACAGGGCAGACAGAGTAGGCAAGTCAGTCTGGCTGCAGAGCCCCCTGAATACATATGGGAAGACTGAGAGGGAGGGGGAGGAGAAGGGATAACTCACAGTGAACCTTATTGTCTGTTGGAAGCATCATGGGCTGTTTCACCCAAGATGCATCCACCCTGCGTAGTTAAGCAGAGGGTGGGCTGTTGAAATGTGCTACAAACCTGCCCATTGCCATTCCACTAGTACAGGCAAAATTTCAACCTTCCTGCCTCACCCCACCTCACCACTGCAACCACCCTGCATGCAATCCTTTCTTTACCTGCTCATGCTCCATGAATATATCTCTGCCCAGGTTCTTAGCATGTTGCCTACCAGTGAGTGTGACTACAAGCACAGAGTTCCCACCATTAAATAGCCACTCTTTTCAGGGCAAAAGCTGTGACTGATAAGAAGGCCATTATCTGTCTCTTGCAGGAGCAGAGTGGGCACCCTCGTGGCTTCATGAATGTCTGATCCAGGCAGCTGCACCCTGCAGATTCAGAGAGCCGGCTCTGAGGTAAGAGGGAGGCACATGGAGCGCTTATCAAGAACCAGATGGGTAGCCCCACCCACAACAAACTGGGATTAAGAAACAGAGGGCACGAAAGGGGATTCTCAGAAAGCCACCAGAAAGAAAAAGTTGCAGACTGTCATTTAGTCCTGCTGTCTGGGGATTCTTTCCTACCAATGTTGGGCCCACCAGAACTCCAGACATGTTTTCCCACCAGTGTATCTACTTTTCTTCTGATTGGTGCTCACTGTATGTTTCCCATATATAGGCATGTTTTCTTGGAATTGTGAGTTTCAAATTTAATCCCTCCCCTCCCCCTAGAGCTAAATTACTCAGAATTTGTAGAAGCATAGAAACAGAGCAAGTCAGAAGAGGCCTCCCAGGCCACCTAGTCTGACCCCTGGCTCTAGCCGGCTCCACTCACGACATGCCTACCATGTGCATGTCTAGCCTATCCTTGAAGACCCTCACCAATGGGGCCTCAACCACCTCCCATGGACCCATTCCATACCCTTGGGGTCCTAACTGTCAGAAAGTACGTCCTGGGATCCAAGTTGAACCTTGGTTACCTGAGCTTTGCTCCATTGGAGTACGTCCTGCCCTCCTCTGCATTTGATGTGCAAAGCAGCGATTTCCAAACACTGACTTTCCTTGAAGCCTTTGCCACATCAGTAATCCCACCAAGAAAATTCTGCCACAAAATCTCTGCATATCACAAAGGATTCTGGGAGTGCCAGGAATGGGCCTATTGGACCTTGCTCTAGCTGCTCCCCAGGACATTTCACACTGTGTGCAGGGCTGGGCCTCCTGTTAAGCAATGAGGTAGCTGCCTCAGGCAGTGGATTTTTGGTGTGGTGAAAAGGCAGCCAATTGTTAGTTATTAATGTGTATTTATTGCATTTTTACTGCCAGGGAAATGAAGAGTTGCTTGTTAGATTTTTCCCTTCCCCTCAGCTGCCAAAATAGCATGACCAGGCTGAAGTACTATATACCTTGATTTTGGGGGAGGGGGTGACAAGGGAGGGAAGGGATGTAATCTGCTGTTCTGCTTCAGGCTGCAAAGTATATTAGAGGACACCAGTGTACCCCACAGTGTCCATATTGCAGGAGAATGGTTGGTACAGGTGGGCAAGCTTTCTTAGGGAGACCCATAACATCCAGCTCTGTGTAAAGTCCTTTTTGGCCCTGAGTGAAATGTTTTAGCAGTCAGTGTGTCGACCTGCAAGCCAGTTAGTCTCGCTGAGTTGGTTCTGGAGACAGTTAAGCAAAATTCTGCTAAGACAGCAAGGTTCTTCTGCCTCACCCTTTCCACAGCTGCAACCTGCAGCTCTCCCTCCCCAAAAAGTCAGTCCTGAGGGTCAAGACACCCTCCCAAATGTGTAATGGGGGATGGGGAAAGGACAGCTGCAGTAGGACTTTGTTTCTTATAAAGTACTCCAAGGTCCTGTGGCAAGGCATAAGTAAATGGCACGGAACTGAAATACAAAAGCATAGAGCCCAACAAGCTTACTTGAACTTAGTCCTCATCAACATCCATTGGACATAACTAGTGACTGACTTACCCCAATTACTGCAATCAGGCTGAAGTTCAAATGGCAGATTTTTCAAACAGATGTTGAAAAGACTGTGGCTAAATAGAAAGCTGAAATACAACCTCCCCACCTCCACCCTCAAAATCTGCCAGGTTGAAACTGGAGACAAAATAGGCTCAGAGGACTGTTTTAAACAATAGCCATAACAGTGGTAGCTTCCCCAACTTACAACATTTCCTGGATGTCTAGTACTTGGTTGGTCTTACAGAGTATTGCCAAACGTTTTCTTCAAATCCTGAGTCTAGAATCCAGTAATGTATCCTGGTAATCTGTTCCAGGCACTCACAAATCCACAGTTGGGCAATACCTTTATTAGACCCAACCAAAGTGCCATAAAAACGTCATTGAGTGCTCAGTGAAGAACTCTAGAGAACTTAAAAGCCAGCACGTTTTTTTGTGATTGTGTGGTTGGTCCTGTTCAAAGGTGGATTTGGGATTTTTCCCTCCTCATGGACCAAGACTGCTCCTTTCAGTGATTGTTATTTTTGTGTGTGTTTCCACGGTACAGACTGGTTGAGATCACCCTGGTTCCAGTTGCTTTTCTTTTTGCATTGCAGAACTTTGCTGCCACGGCTGATTTTGGGGGGACCCTGCTGGAGCAGACGCTAGGCAGGGTACGGTCAGACAAAATGCCCCCCTGCTCCCCTCAGCAAGGATGGACTCGGGGTACTTTCCTCCCCTTGTACAGTCCTCTGGCAGCAGGGGAACCTGGCTCCCAGGGAGAGATGGAACTCGCCTGGCAAGAAATCCTGTCCATCTCAGAGTTGCAGGTAAGCATGGGCTGATTAATGGCCCAAGATGCACAGTAGCTTTTTGGAGACGATGTAGTTGCATTGATACTACTTTACAGCTAAGAGGAATGATTTTTGCTGCATGTTGCAAATAAAGGAAGATGGAAGTAGCAGCAATGGGGAGAGAGTGTGTTGGTTATTCAAACTACAGGGTGATAAGAACTCTCTCTCCCCCATGGAGAGAAACACACTCTCTGACCATTTGAAGGACAAATAGAGGGGCAGCTTGAGGTTCTCAAGGTAGTTTTCTGAGACCTTTCACTTAATAAAAGTCCTCTGCAAGTGATCAGTCTGGGTTTTGGGAAAAGTAGGACAGAAATAGGGAGTAGGGTAAATGAAGGGGTGGCAGCAGGGCCGTGTTAACAGCATTATGGGCCCTGAACAAAGCAGTGTACTGGGGCCCCTACGACAGCTACAACTACTGTTACTTTTGGAAGTTTTCCCATTTTCAAAGGGTTAACATACACAGATTTGTATGGGGCCCACAGGCAAGTGCCGATCAGGCCCATGCGTTAAGATGGCCCTGGGTGGCAGAAAGATGTGTGGGGAGGGACAGAGGAAGGAAAAGGGGCAGCTGCACCCATTTTTGGCTAGTATGTGTCTCCAACAGATTACTTCCAAACAGATCCCTTCTTAGCCAAAGAAAAGGCTCCCACTTCCTGGACTAATTGCTATATCTGCATCCAATATATTTGGAGAATAGCTGGGACAGGAGCCCATTGCTGGAGTTTCCTTTCCTTCTTTCAGAGTTGCAGGAAATTTGGAAAAGGGATTATGACTCATTGGAAGAAATGTGGAAGGCTCGCTGCTAAGGGTGTGTTTACATGCATTCCATTTGCACCTCTAGTAGACCAGTGTTATTTGTATTATTTCACAAACTTGCAATGCCTGTTTGTTTGTACAGAGATAACAGAGTGGCAAAGGATATTTGCGTGTACACCCCACTTGCATCCACTTTGCCTGGATATTTGTTTTAAGATACTTAGGACATTCATTATGAGTCAAAGTCTCATTTGTTTTATGGTATTTCAATGGATTGTTCATACTTAGTTCAGAAACAACAACAAACAAATGTTTAGGAGCTAACTATGGAAAGGCAATTTTCAGGGACCTCCTCCTACCCTTCCTTCTTGTTCTTTATCTTTAGCTGTATCTCTGCTAGACAGGAGCACTTCAGATAGGACTGGGCAAAGTAGGACACATGGTCACCCTGTCTCAAAGTGTGTCCTGTTCTTTTCCCATCTAAAAAGGGTGCAGAACTTCATGGGCAACAAGATTATAATGGTATTTCCAGTTTTATCAGGCTATTAAAAATATCCAGAGGGTGCAGTACAGGGCAGAATTTTGTTAAGTTCCCATATTTGTAGACTGTATTAGTTTCTTAATCTAAGAATTATTTGGTCAGCAATTGGAGTTTTGGGGTGCTGTATGAAACAGGAAGTCATAGCTTCTATGAAGTTAGCCAGGTGGCCTGAGGTAAGTCACTATCTCAGTCTCATTTTATGTATGTCATACACAGAAACCACTAAAAAGAACATATAGATATGCTGCAAAAATTTTTTACTAGCCCAGCAATACTTGAGTTCTGTGTCACATTATGGAGAGGTAAGAAAGAATTGATCACAATGCCTCTTAACTGCACAGAAGTGCAGCTAGGACTGGATGTCAGAGCCAAAGTTCAGGGTCTCTGACCACCAAGCAAGTGTTAGGTGCTAGGGATGGCAGCACATAGGCCTGGTATCAGCACTTGGTCAGGTTTAGACTCACCAGGCCTGCACTACTCATCGTATTAGTCTTTAAAAAAATAGTCCTGGGCAGCTGGCCCAGAATATAGATTGCTATTAACTTTATTTGAAATATATTCTCTTTTTCTATTAAAATGGTACGTATTTCAAAGTAATTGTTTAGCATGAGGGCAACAAAAGCAACCTCTATTTTATTCCTGTAGTAACCATGGTGTTAGGTGACATTAACATGTATAAAGTAAGGTTGCTTACCTGTAACTGATGTTCTTTGAATGATCATCCATGCATATTCACACATATGGGCTCCGCGCCTGCGTGGGGCCTGCTGTCAGGAAGACTTTCCTAGCTAAACTCATTCTGGTGGGAGCCCATTCCTCCTCCCCCCCCCTCAATATAGGAGGGGCTCCCACCATTTTCTCCAGTTCTCATGACACTGACTTTTTGGGCTCAGAACCAGGGAGGAATCATGGGTAATGCCCCAACCTACATCATCCTGGTACAGGTGCTGGGGGAAAGAAGAAAGGAACTGAGGCTGTCAACATCAACATGAGGTCAGTGGGTGGGCTGTGTGGATGTACAGATGACCACTTGAAGAATGTCAATTACAGGTAAAAACCTTACTTTCTTCTTTGTGGTCTCCGTGGATCACACATATGGGTGACTAGAGAGCTTACCTCAAAACAGAGGAGGGCAGGTGTTGTCAGTGGAGGACCAGTGAGAGCACCACTCAGCTGAAAAGAGTAATCCTACCTGGTGCAGACATCAAGGTGACAGTGCTGGATGAAGGACAACGGGGTGGACCATGTCGCTGCTCTGCAGAAGGATGCCAGGATGCAGCGCTGTAGACATTGACACTGTCCTGGTAACATGCACCCTCTGTCATTCAGGGAACTGCAGTCTGGACTGCTGTTTGATGGTCTTGATGACTCAGTGTGCAGCCTATTCAGGGCTGATTGACTTACCTTTAGAATATCCACCATACGCAACAAAGAGTCTTTGGGACCAGTGGAAGGATTTGGTATAGGTATAACAGAAAGCCAGCTGGGAGAACTCCTATCCAGAAATCGCTGGTCCAGAAACCCTGGACCAGCCACTGGATCCAGCACATGACAAACTCAAGCTTGGGGAAACAAACAACTTTATTAAAAGGTTAAAAATAGGGGTGGAGGGACTAAAACATACAAGTCTAAAAGGATAAAATCTGGGAAGAGGGACAAGCAAGGGTGAAAGCAGATTTGGACAGCAACAACAAAAAAAGTTAGAGCCAACCAAGAACCCCACTCCTGGGGTTGTTGACCCCCTCAGACAATAAAACATAAAAAAGTCTTCCATCTTAGTCTAGGCACAATAATTCTACTTTCTAACAGCACAGCAAAGCAGGATACCATATCGATCATCAATACAGAGGATTGGGAACAGGACAGAACCTCCCCAAGTGATGAACCAAACACTTCTTGGAGCTTTAAACCCCTCCCCAGCCTTGGTCAGCTGACCGTGAGCCTAATTCCCAGTCTCCAGGGTTCACCCATTCACTCCCAGTGCAGGCCATCAATTCGTTGTCACTGGTTATCTCCTGTGATTAATTGAAAGTTCTTGCCTCCCTAGCCTGAGAGGGAGGTGAAGATCTCGCCAAGGCCTTGACCACAGGAATGCCAAGCACCGCATATGTCCAGGGTATGCAGGGCTGACTCCACTGGCAAGGATGGAGACTGGGAAGAATGTTGGCAAGACAACGTCCTGGTTCAAGTGGAACTGCAATACGATGTCTGGGAGTAATGTTTGCTCAGGCCACAGAAACACTTTGTCTGCAAGAAAGTGAGGAATGGTGGAATGAAATGCAGAGCACAGTGGTCACTTGCTAGCCTGGCTGAAGTGATTGCTACCAGATCTTCCATGAATGGAGGCAAAAGTTCATGGGGGCCAAAGGCTCAAAGGAGGCTGCATAAGTGCCTGCATGACTACTGACAGGCTCTCTCCTGGCACAAAGAAATGAGGGTGTGGGACCAGATTATGCAGACTTCCCATGAATTGACAGGACAGCAGATGCAATACTAAGAGAAGACTGTCAACCATCCTGTGGAACAACGAGATTGCCGCCAGATATGCCTTAATGGAGGATGGTGCAGGTCTCTGGAGTGCTGCACATGGAGGAAGCTGAGGATGTGATTGGTGGATGGCTCCCCCCGCCACCCACCCACACACACAGAGCGAGAGAGAGATCCATTTCACCATGTAGGGACTCGTGTTTGGTTGCAGGGCTGCATCTAGGGTTGCCTGTATCATGGAATGGATAGGGAGGTTCCAGTCTACTGGCCAATCCCTCATGTAGTGAGGGAGATGGTCCTGACGTCTGGGCACAAGAGCATCCCTCAGTCCAAAAGATGATGGCTAGTCTTGAAGGGAGTTGAAAAAAATAGTGGTTGGACAGGAGGAGGAGCTGTGTGATGAGGATTCAGGATATTGCTTTCCTCCAGATCTTTTCCAGGCTCCCGGTGATCAGCAGGAACAGTGGCAACAGTAGAGAAGGACTGCATCTTTCACTGAGCTCTGGCTGAGCCCAGCTCAGGAGGAGAAGGGGTGCCCCATGTTTCAAAGGGCTGTGTCAGGACTTCTGTTTGTAGCTCCCATCCAAGGGTCCTTTCCTGCTCAGGGTGTCTACTGTGACATTGAGAGTCCTGGCCAGGTGAATGACTATGATGGCAATGCCTCTCTTGAAGTACCGCTCCCAGATCTGCAAAGTCTGGGATATGGATTGTATTCCATCTTGCTTGTTCAGGTAGCACACCATCATAGTGTTGTCCATGATGACCTGAACATGCTTGTCTTTGAGGTGGAATGCAATTAGTACCCTCTGGACCTCAAGGATATCCAAGTACGTAGTTTATATGCTCCTTCTGATCCCAATTCATCCTGATTCCATGGGTACCGATGTTGATGCAGTGCATTCCTCAGCCTGGGTGTGACACATCCACAGTCAGAGTTCAGTCCAGTTCCTTCAGTGGGAATACAGGAGCACCAGCTGCTTTCAGGATGAATCTTGCTGGGGCCAGTAGGCGTGCATGAACCAGAGCTGCAGTGGCTGCATCCATAGCTTGGTGAACAGGACAACTGAGACCATTGCTGTCATGAGCTCCAGGAGCTGTTGCATCGTCGCCATGGATTTGACCTGGAGTCTGAGGCAAAGTTGAGCAGTGCCACTGCTCTGTCTGCTGGTAGGTGGACCTGTGCCTTCATCACATTGAACCTTGCCCCATTGTAGTCAATTGAGGTGAATCAGCCTCCTTGATGCAACCATGGCAGAAGATTCCGCACTAGACTATGTGGAACTTCTTATGGGGGATGAAGAATTTCATGTCCAGCAGGTCTGGGATGGTCCTTCTTCGGTACTGTAGAGTACTGAGAGTAGAATCCATAGCAGAGACAAGATGAAGGAATGGGCTTTGACAACAGCAAGGCTATTTCCTTCATCAGCACAGGAGAGGGTGATGTCAAGTGCTGGGAACTGAAAGTCGGTCACCACTGGTTCCACCAGGAGCATCACAGGAAGCATTGCAGGAACTGGCACATGAATGGACACAGGTGGTGCTGGTGGAGTGATGGACTAGTGGCTTCTTTCGAACCAGGTCCATGCAGCTAAAAGGGGACTGACAGGCTGCAGTGGTCAGCAGTGTCACCTCTTGGTGTCCAGTCTCCTCTTCTGTGCCAGTTGTTCACCAGTACAAGCATTGAAGAGGCCTTCACCAACAAAGAGCAGCTCCTTGATCTGGCTGCAAACCTCCTGAGAGATGCTTGCTTCTCAGTGACTGTGGGGATGTTGCAGAAGGAATGGGATGTCGCATGCCTGGACTTTGTACAGGCTTTCCAACCAGCTGGATGTTGGTTGCAGCTATGTTGGCATCTTCCACGGATCTTTCATGCACTGCATCCTCTGTGAATCCAGTCCAAGCAGCAATGCCATCCAGAGAACCTTCCTAGGACTTTAGAGAGGGGGATCCTGGGTCCTGCGCAGAAATGATGTCTTTGGGCAAGTAGGTGAGCACCTCCTTGAGGAGCAGTGGTGAGTATGAGGCTGAGGCATGGTCATCTGGGTCTGAGAGCAATGAATCTCCAGCTGGTGAGGAAGGCTGCTGGGGGTGGGGCATGGCAGACAGCTGTGATGTGGGAACAGGTGCAGGAACTGTGGGGAAAGGGACCCTCACTTGCTCTGGGCGGTAGATAGATACATTTGTCTCACCATTCTGGCCCTCCGTCGTTTTGTGGCCTTTCTGGGCTTCTTCACCCTGCATTCCTCCTCATCCATGCATCCAAACAAGGGTATAGTCAGGAGGGGGAGGGCGGCCGGTGGAGATCCAGCAGCCAAGGACAAATGCTGGGAGAAAGGAGCCATCCATGAGATGGAGGTGCACTTCAGCAGCTGTGCCATAGCCAAGTCAGTGGCCATGAGGGTGCAGCTCTACAATCTTGCTCTAAGTCAGCCTGCTTGGTTCTTCCAGGCCTGGGGTGGTCTTCTCCCAGGCAGAAGAGGCACAGAGGGTGATCGTTGATGGAAGGTAGATAGCTTCCACAGTGAACACATTTCCTTTTGGATGTTTTGAGTACCATCAAGGAGAGAGATGAAAGGTAAGACAAAAGAATTGACCCAAAAGAGTCAATGAAAAATGATGATGATGATATCATTGACTCTCTATATAATATTTATCTAGAAATAATACTAACATAAAATAAAAGCCCATACGTATCATTGACTCTTTTGGGTCAATCCTTTTGTCCTTTATTACTATTAATAATAATTTTGGATAAAGTTAGGGGGAAAGGGGGGCTTCATTTATACAATATAAATGATCCACAAACTGAGCATAAAAGCATAGTTAAAATTAAACATTAAAAGTACGGAAGAATAAAAAGGTCTTGACCTGGTGCCGAAAAGCATATAATGTTGGTGCCAGGCGGACCTCTCTGGGGAGAGCATTCCATAGCTGGGGCACCACTGCAGAGAAAGCCCTCCTCCGAGTATGTTCTCTCCTAACCTCCTTCAAGGAGGGTTCTTGGAGCAGGACTTCTGCTGCAGATCTTAAGGAGTGGGTGGGCATATAGGGAAAAAGGCGTTCCTTTAGGTATCCTGGTCCCAAGCCATTTAGGACTTTATAGGTCAATACCAGCACCTTAAATTGGGCCCGGGCTTCAGTTGGAAGCCAGTGAGGCTGATAAAGGACCAGCATTACATGAGAATAGCAGCCGGCCCCCAGCAGCAATCTGGGAGCTCTGTTCTGAACCAACTGAAGTATCTGGACCGTCTTTAAGGGCAACTCCTATTAAATACAGTGCATAAAATTTCCTAGTGGCACCACTGTTGAACTGCACTTTGATGCTTTTCCTTGTTGCTGTTCTTAGAGGCATGTGGCATGTTCGGGCTGTCCCCTGGTAGTGATGCTGCTTTTTAAAAAAGACTGGAATATGAGTAAGAGTAAAAATTCTCCTAGTCAATGCTCTTTGGAGTTGCGATATAAAACTTCTTTCTGTGGTAGATAATCACTATACACATTAGAGTATTTTGTTTTCTTTTCCCAGTAAGAATTGACATATGTTTATAGTATGAAGGGAGGTATATCCCCTTTAGAGTCTCATTCCCCTTTAGAGACCTTTAGAGTCTCATTCTAAAGGTCTCATAAGCCAATTGCATTTCATTATTAGAGTGCAATCCTATGAATGTTTAGGCAAAAAGAAGTCTTAAGCTCCTAGCTTGCATTGGTTTGTGCCCTTAGCAGTTACCTGCTTTAATTAGAAAGATTTGGAGTGAGGCATCCCTATAAAAGAGCGGAAATGGGTATAGTGGAATATATCAAAACCATTAGTAATGACTGATTTGAAAGAAATTTAGCCAGTATCAATGGCATTTGACTTGGAATAGAGTAAGCCTGATTTATATTACAATTTCTGATTTATGTTGCCAGCTTGTTGGTTGTGGGGGAGAGGAGTGTCACACTGGTCTTTTGCATGTATATTGAAATTGTGCAGTTATACCATCATTATGGACTAATATTTTGAATCTGAAATCTGCAAAATCTTGAGGTAGCACCATTGTACTATCTTAACATTTGATTTATCGATACTGACCTTGAAGAAACCTGCTGAAGACAGCAAAAAATGTGCATAGCAGCAATTTGAAAGAAAGTTGCACCAGAAATCCAAATCTGAACAGCATGATACTTATTATAGAAAATGAAGGCAAAGACAGCAGATGAATTTATTCAAAAATAGACCTTATTCATGATGTTCTGAAATAGCAAATGTCAGGCTAAGAATCAATCATGTATTTTCCTTTTCTTAATGTGGGGCATTTCTTATTATTTTTGTATGTGTATCATTTTTATATGTAATTCTATTTACACAAAATTAAAACTTAAATATATTATTACAGAAATTTTAAACTGACCAGTGGAACATGCACTCTCTAATGTAAACCACCCAGACAGCCCAATGGACTATGGGGTGGTATAGAAGTGTAACAAACAAACAAACAAACCAATGAATGAGCTCATTTTGGGTTCCACCTAGGCTTCTAGCAAGCACTCCTGCTTTAATTGCTCATGTTAAACATATAGTAGCTACCCGCACTCAGTTTCCTTTTGTCTTTTCATTTTAAAAGATTTTTTTTGTCAAACCTTGAAGCTCCCTCAAGGATGCCAATATCTCAGTCTTGCTTTCCAGGAGCCCCATTTGTCAGCACTTCTCACAGGTTCACTGGTACAGGGAATGATTTGGATCAGTTTCTTGTAGGCTTTAGATGGAGTGTTCTTGCCTTCCACACCTTCCAATCATCCTTGCACTTGTTGTATCCAGAAATAGAACAGACTTTACTGCCTTTTTGGAAGCGTTAAGGCAGGCCCTGGTGGATTTCAGCTGCAGTCCCATGTTTAGCTGAACATAAATCCCATTTAATGTAGGAGGAATTACTTCTGAGTTGACATGCCCATGATCCTGGTGATGAAAAACTAAGCAGAGAGGGTAGGAAAATACATGAGTAGAGCTACAGAAAGCCACAACTTGCATGTATGGTTAGGCACCATACAGAGGCGTGGACAGAGTGCCAGTTGTGGGCAGGCAGGTATCCATTACGCACAGCTGCCTCTTTAATCTCCACTCTCCCAACACTGCCCCCATTCAGTAACTGACCCTGGGGAGCAGTAAGGTGGGGGACATGGTATACAATGGGCGATCTGTGTGATGGGATGAATCACCCTTTTGTTCTTAGGGGGAATATTATCAACCCATCCATCTCAGCCAGGGAGGCACCTGCACAGTCCTTTAGCTCCCCTTCCAGCTTCCCTACTCCTCAAATGATGTATTATGGAGCAGGATGAATTAAGGGAAGCTTGGGAATGAGTCTCAAGGGTGTTAAAGCTCCCTCCTATGTGGTATTAAAAGAACCATGTGAATAAATAAATGGGAAAAACAGTTTATTACATAAAACTAAATGAATCTGTTGAAATTGAACCCAGGAAACACCTGAACCTTAATGAGTTAAACTAGAGAAATGGCGGACTCCTATTTAGCAGAGAATTAATGGAGCTTAGTGGATAGGTAGCTAAAAAATAGGCTGGGCTAGGAGCCCAGCAGTCCTGTTTTGTTTTGTTTTTTGCTAAGCTCTGCTCCTGACTCTTAGATTCTGAAATAAAATCTCTTCCCTTTAAACCTCGACTATGTCTCCAGACATCCTTCTATGGTAGAATACTGATCTTTAAGCCTTGCTGCTGCTTCTGAGCATCTCTCTCTCATTCCTACAGGGCCTTGAAATTCCAAGTGAAAATTGCTATGATACTGCTGCATGTGGCCACGCACAACAGATGATACAGCCTCCTATGTATGGGCCATGCACAGGGACAGGAGACAGTTCAATTTCCAGCTACAGCCATCCTATTTCAGCGTATGAGCGTCCATACCCAGAAACCCTGCCAGCCCCTTGTACTCTCTACAGCTATACCAGCATGCTAATCTCATCCTCCCTTGAGCCTCCAGGACCTGGTACCCTAGGTGGATATAAAGGGGTATCAGAAATGGTGCTGGATAGGGACTTGACCAGCAGCTATGGATGCCAGGAACCTTGCAAACCCCAGGAAGACCTAGAATCAGACTCTGGATTGTCACTTAACTACAGTGATGCAGAGTCTCTGGAGGCAGAGGGGCTGGAGCGAGCAGAGTATACATCACTCTACCCTATGGACCAGGTACCAGCGTACCCCATGTTGGCCCCTGTGCAAGAGATGTCATTCATTGACCCACACCCAGAACATTCCTTTGAAAAGGGACGGAGTCCACGGGCAGAGCTGGCTGGTAGTCGGGATGAACGTCGAGCTCTAGCCATGAAAATCCCTTTCCCTGTTGACAAGATCATTAACCTGCCGGTGGATGACTTCAATGAGCTGGTGTCACGCTTCCCACTGAGTGAACCTCAGCTGGCACTGGTCCGGGATATCCGTCGTCGTGGCAAGAACAAAGTAGCAGCTCAAAATTGCCGTAAGCGCAAACTGGAAACCCTGGTGCACCTGGAGCGAGAGCTGGATGAGCTGAGCCGTGAACGGCAACGCCTCTTAAGGGACCGTGGAGAGTTTAATCGGACTCTGACACTCACCAAGCAGAAGCTGGGAGCGCTTTACCACCAGGTTTTTTGCATGTTGCGTGATGAAGCTGGGAACACCTACTCCCCAGAGGAGTATGTGCTACAGCTCACTGTGGATGGTAGTGTCTTCCTTGCACCACGCAACAAACAGCTGGACAATTCCACTGACTGAATACAACAGCCTGTGGTGAGAACTGAATGGAGTCAGTTGACCCAACACAAGTGACCCATCATAGTTTTCCAATAGTCACATTTGAAGCTACCCAAGAGAGGTCAAATTTGCAACTGCAAGCTCTATGACACTTAAACAGGTACATAAATTTTAAAAGGGGTTTCTGGCCTAATTCAACCTTCTCTCTTTAATCTTATTTGCTTAATCCCTGCACACAATCTTAGGTCTTTGCCAGTGATGTGGGTTTTTGGAAAATGGAATTTCCACACTATTCCTATGTATAATATATAGTACATAATATTTCACATTTCAGTTAAAAGAAATAGTGCTTAGCAGGCAATTTTAGGAAGAGGAAAGGCTGGGGCTCTAAGCCCAAACTCAAAATAATTCAAGTAGGTATTTCTCATCTCACAACACATTGTTATCCGGGCAAAAAGGCAAAACATTATCTAAAGACTTTCATATATCCCAAGCAGCAAGTTTAACCCTTTGCCATCTACCATCTGAAATCTGTCTAAATTCTTTTCAGCATAAACTAGGGCCCTTTTTGAAAAGTAACCAGGATTTCCTTACCTGGCTACAAAGCCTGCTTCAGATTTTTGGTTTTTTTAATGAGGCTACATGAAAGGCTGAAAGGTATCTGCACAAAGCAACTATGAGATGCAGAATTCAAGAATCTTTATTATGTTCATCTAACATGATTGCATAACTTACTGTAAATCTCAGGAAGGGGAAAGGAGCTACTCAAGACGTATCTACCAACCTACTGCTCTACAAAACAATTAACTTCTGAGGTTAACAAGTTACCTCGATGCCCTACTTTGATGGGGAACCTGGCTGTGACTCAAAAAGTCCAGGCATTTATCCCACACCACCACCAAGTGAATCTGGTACTACATAAACAAATCTGAAGGTGGGACCAGGTCACGTACCCAATATACATTTCAGATAGCTGTGAACTACCCATGGTTTTATGATAGCCTATGCTTTATGTAGATGAATCTCTACTATAAACAATGTAATATCTAAAATGCATGCTCCTTATCAAGAGTATATAAATATTTGTTATTAAATAAAACAGGACACCGGCATCGTCCAAAAGAAATGTATTGCAGTATTGGGCAAAATATGTTTGCACGTAAGATGATGATCCAGGTGCTACTGATAGTTTGCCTCATATGTTAACTTATAGCAACATGTATAGCTTGCAAGGTATTTCAGGTTACCAGCTACTTGTGAATAGTTGCACTTATTCTTTGTACAGAATAAACTCCAGGCTGACGGGTTAAATCATGCATCAAGTAGCCTTAAGTATCTCCACTGCAGTAGACAAAGTGTAATAGTAGTTTTAGTCATCAGTTATACCAAGGTAAGCAGAATATTTGCCCCCAAATTCAACTGAAAGATGGGCCACACAAGAGCTGGGTTTGCAATGGCACAGCATCCAAGATGTCTACGTATTTTTTGGTTGTGACTGCTCAAGCCCAATGCTCTAAAGCCGGGCCACATGACCCCCCTGAAGTACTCCACCAATACAAGAAAAGCAGCAATATATGTCAGGTTCATAGAGGGAGTCTCTCTCCTCCTCCCAGTTTCAGTAACCCTGCAGCAACCAGTACCACTGGCTTTTGCAGTGCTCAACTAAAGCAAAAGCAGGAATGCCTGCTGAAGTTGCTGGGTACATCCTTGTGCATATGTATGTACAAGCCCAGAAATGTTGCCCTTGTGGCCAGAACAGTTGTGAACAACCTTTAAGGCAGAGATATAAATCTCTATTAGGGAGCTGGGGCCTCTTTCTCCCTTTGCTTCAGGAAACACTGAAGAGTCACACTCCAGACATTTTAGCAAAATTATCTGAGAACAAGACTTATCTTTATGCCTCACTTAACAGAGGAAGGGTGGCCAGACTTGCACAATGGAAGAGCCACATATGGTAAAAGTCAGATGTTTGAGAGCTGCAAGCAGGTGCCTATGCATGGCAAGTTGCAAAATAAACTTAAGAGTTGCATGCAGCTCCTGAGCCTCAATTTGGCCCTCCCTTTAACAGAGCCTTCCTTGAAACAAGTGAGTAAGTGGGTATGAATAGTTTTTTAAAGGCTCTCAAAAAAAATCCTGCAATTTGTCTTATATGAAATTGGTTTGGAACATCAGACTAATGCTATAAAGCTTTGACACAAGCTTAGGGCCCAAATGGTTGTTCACAAACAGACCCTCCAGTTATACTTGAGGGTCTGTTTGTTATTGAAACAGCTTGCTCGTTCTCTCCATGCCAGGGTCAAGCTAATATAGCAAATGTCAATTGAAACTTATGTCAGAAAAATGGTATGAAACTCACTCTTCAAAAGCTTTTGATATTCACAAAGGCAAGCCACTTATTGCAAAAACTTTATTTAACAAATATAAAAAATGCTCGTTGTATAAACAGAATATACATGTAGCTACCCAGTAGCCATTTAACTTTCTCTGAAAGGTTTATGGTTTGCCAAGTTGAGAAATCCTGAAAAAGAAAAAAAGAAAGTCACTAAGATGCTATGATCACACTGGGATATTAAGACACTTGTTTTGCTTACAGAACACATTGAAACTTATTTCCTTTTGTTAGTGGCAACCTTGTATTCTCCATCAAACTTGCTAAAACCTTACAGTCATAGAAAGACTCCACCCTACACTTGTAAAATGAGCTTGTGCTATTTTTTGTTTACTCTGGTATTCATTGTTCCTTGCTCCCCACAACTTCAGGGTTGTCTGATTTTACCTTTCAAAAGCAAACGGCAATCCAAAGACATCCTAGTCCACAGGCGTAGAGCAAGGGCATTTTAGCACTGGACAGCTCCTCTTCTCCTATAAAAAGGAATAAGTGTTAAGAATCACTCAGTGTTAACTGTTCTCTATGGCATGTAACACAGATTCTTTGAGCAAGTGCCCCGCCCCCACATTAGTCATCTGCCTTTACAGCAGCACAGCCAGTGCATTGTGGTACTAGGCTAAATCTTTTTAAGTTGACAAGGCCACACAAAGAGGGAGATAAGAGGCAGTGTTTTCATTAAATACATTTCAAGCCTCTTTAAACAATTTAAAAAGGCAAATCAGTATTTTCTATCCATCTAATGCTTGTATATTACAGCACTGGGCACATTTTAAAGAGTAGTTGAACTATTATTTACAAGGTAAACTCAGCTTCTGAGAAAGTTAGCAGGATTAAAACAAACTGTATAGGACATAAGTAAAATCTGTTCTTACCTACCAGTACAGTTATATAACCTTTCCTTCCTTCTGCGTCTGACTGCTAGTCCTAAGAGCAAGGATCCTTACTCTCGTCTGCCTCCTTCCGATGGTCACTGAGCACTCCCTTCTAGTCAGCAGAAGCCTGCACCTGGCTTATCTGTCCACTCGACTCAACACACGTGTCTACTCTCAGCTGTGGTAGCGTCTGAGCTGGAAGCCATTCGGAGCTATGCTTGCTAGCCGTTCCTAGTAGCTCAACCATCTGCATGCCTCCCGGATTTGTAAAGCTACTTAGTTTTCAGGTCCTGGTGTGCTCTCCTCTGTTGTTGTAATGCTACCATGCCAAAACGAGTATTACTTCATGAATCCTGAGGTCTTGTCTCCCTCAATAGAATAAGGATCCACCTGCTATTGCAAACTCAGCCACGTAAAAACCCATGAGGACTATTAATTTTGCATTCTAAATTAAGCCATTCACCAGTCAGAAGCAAGTTAAATATATATGTATATACACATGCGCACCATATACATGAATCATTGTAATGGTAAATATAGATTACTGGCCCTATTTCACAAGAAGCCAGGATGGGAATTATTACTTTTCTTTTTATACCACCCATAACTGAAACTCCCTGGGCAATTCACAACATTTTAAGTCACCCATCCAGATTTCAACCAGGTCTAGACCTGCTTAGCTTCCAAGATTAGGCAGAATCAGGCACTTCAGGCTAAGGTGCGCTCAGCTCTCATTGAAATATTGACTATACCACCCTTGCCACCTCCACCACCCTCCTCCAACTTAAGTGCAGTTCTGGATCTATCTCATGGACAGAAATGACAGTCACCCTAGAAAATTAACAGAGCCAAAAAAGAATGTATCCAGGAGGCCCATTCTCTATTGCAGAACTGCACCTAGGTAAAATATGCCCAGGACTTCTTCACAGAATGAAAAGGCATAACCTCTCCATGTTTTAAAGTTTCAAGATGTGACTAGAGTACTAGTTGTACGGAGAACTTTCTTTGGTTCACTCACTGAGATGACAAAAAAGGGCTCAGAAGGAATAATAGAGTACCTTAAGTAACGCTGGCATAGTTATGGCACCTTCAATGCTGAAAAACTAACTTTGCTTTATCAATTCTGTGAGAAGATTCAGCCTTTCTTCCTTAGGTGTTGAAATCTTCTCAGTGTAAAACATTATCTACCCTTGAAAACGGGGATCAAGGTGTAGTCTTATCCCAGAACCATGGCTTTTTGTAAGATTTGCCCAATGTACATCAATTCAGTTCTGTGGATTGCTCCCTATTACATTTAGCGTATATAATCAGCTCTAATATCTTTTTAAATCCCCCACCCTATCCCCTTTAACTGGGGTGCTCTGGGCATGCCTTATTAGTTTTGGCAAGTGATAACATTTCTGGGACCAATCTTAAACAATCTGCTGACAGTGGATGAGAAGTTGCATGTCTAGAGGCTTTTCAATGTTCAAGTCCCAATTATCACTATTACAAAAGCAAGACTGTGAAAGCAAGCCATGTGGAATGGCGTTTGTTCTCCCAGTACTGAGATCCCAAACCATGGAAGTCAATTGACTGACCCTCTTATTTCTGCAGATAAAGCTTCCCTTGCAAGGGTGTTATTGGTACCACATCCACAGCAACACAGAACCAACTGGATTTGCATGTCTACAGCTGTCTACACAAGCAAGGTTTACAGCAGATCTCTGTAAATGTTTAGTTGCCAATTATCTCAGAAGTCATTTCAAGCTGACAGTAGCACGTATTGCCTGCTGTACTAGCTTGCAAGTGTTGACAGCCTTGTGATTGGTCTTTAATTCAGTATATAAAAGTTTTTGGGAATAGCACCCTTTAAGCTAAGCCTGCACACCAACCATGCAGCTAAAACCAATACATATTAACTTACAGTAAACTAACTTTACACAGCACATTAAAAAACGAGACACATTTATTCAGCGTCATGATCAGTCCATTACAGTTAGCAATCAACAGCATGGGTGTGGAAAAAATAATCTACATAAAAACCCTTGTCGGAATGCTTTGCACTTTCCACATAACACAAGAACTAAAATATCCTGTTATACAGTTAGTCACAAATACAGTTCTGATGTTTGCAAACAAGCGCTTGTCTAACACATGTCTTCATGAGGCAGTTCTACCCTGCCACAACTGTGTTTGGCTGAGTTCACAACTGTGGTAACCTGTAGCTTCCCTGTCACTTCTCTGGCTCTCCTCTCCTGCTAAAGCTTTGATTCCTGTTGAATAATATGGAATAAAGTTGTTAATCTAAACACATTTAGACTCAAGGCTACAATCCAATAGCAAGTTTGTTCCCACCGACTGCCAATCCATATATTAGCTTTAATATCTGCATTTTAGTCCAAGTATGCTTAAACTACTGCAACTTGCTCAGCTACATTAAAAGTTATTGTTACAATTCATTAGCACTGTATATTTATCCCTCAGTTAAAAGGGAAATTCTTACCTAGGAATTAAAACCGTCTTCCACCACCATAGCTACTGCCACTACCAGAGCCACCATAGCCACCTGGAAGAACAAGGGTTCAGTTTTCAGAAGTAAGAAGCTAAAGAGCCAAGTGTTCGATCTTTTAAGCAGGAAGAAACCAAAACAAGGAAGATATAGTTTAATGGGGAAGGAGGGTGGACTGTCAGACACACAAACACCCACGAAGCTGGGGGAGATCAGTGCATGCCTTAACAGTCATAGCTGCTATCCTCAAGTATTATTAGATCAACAGAGACAAAGTTTTCCATGCCTAATAATAGATCAAGGATGAAATCTGGAATTGATATGGCCCAGCTTCTCCATTCACCAGCCACTGCCTCATTTAAGATGCTTACCAC